GATTGAGGTGTCCGTGCACTAAATATCACCCAACACAGCTGCCACTCTAATCTAATGTAACCTCCATAGACCACACATTACAACATATCTTAATGCCCCAGGTATTAATATCTGCTTAACATAGGGCGTTAATTATTCAATTAGATAAACCTAATTTGAAGGACAATTTTGTAAACTGATCTCTTGGTAACTGTTTCGTTAAAATATCTGCAATCTGTTCAGTTCCTGACGTAAATACAACAGTTAGTCTCTTCTTCATCACCATGTCATCTCGTATGTAGAAGTGCCTTATTTCGATATGTTTAGCTCTTCTGTGAAATTTGGTGGTTTTGGCGAGCTCTATTGCAGCCTCGTTGTCTAAATGTAGCAATGAAGGATTCATTACTGTTATATTTATATCATGTGCAATTTTCTCCATCCAAGCAATTTCTTTTGCGCCTTCACTAGCGGACATGATCTCTTCTTCCATTGAGCTCTGCGCTGTGCTTTTCTGTCGGTTAGCGGACCATGTTATGGCGCCCCCATTCCATATGATGGTCTATCCTTGGAAAGATTTCTTGTCGTTTTCTGTACCCCATATTGCATCTGTCCATGCTGCCCAAATCTTTCTTGAATTGGTAAATCTGTACTTAATCCCGAGCGACCTTGTGCCATTTAGGTATCTGAGTTGATGTTTTGCCATACTTAGGTGGTTGGAATTGGGATCAGACATAAATCGCGCAAGTTTTCCTACTGCATACAATATATCTAGTCTTGTACCATTAGAAATATAGAGGATAGATCCAACTATTTGTTGATAGAGGCAAGCATTGTCATTTCCAAGTTTATGATGGCCATCATTTTCAATAGTTGGCTTTAGCACTGTTCCTGATGGAAATGGGAGATTTTTCGGAATGCTTTTCTCCATTCCTAGTCGCTGGACGAGTTTGGTGGTGTAGGCTGTTTGAAGAATACGAATTGTACACTTTTGCCTATTTCTTTCCACTTGAATTCCAACAAAAGTGTCGACTGGTCCAAGCTGTCATAGGCTAGAGCCTAGCACAACTCAAGCATAAGCCTAAGTTATCTGAATATTGAAGGATTGATATATGATAGGGCTGAAGGATTATGAGAGACACAGACATCCTGGATCATACTGGTTGAATGGTCGGATGGTTAAGTGGTGGTAGAGCTAGCTCGAACGGATTGCAGAGAAGCCGAGCAACTAGGCACCTCAGTAAAAGATATCGCCACATACTCCTCTTCATATTGTTCACTTCACTTTGATAACTCGAAATCTTGGCATAAAGCAAGATCATTCTTATAGTGGGTTCCCCCAGTTAATTTCCTCTCCAGTTTAAGATTCTCTTTTGTACCTAGATCTAGATAGTTTGTGAATAACATCTATCTTACGACCCTTACACCAGCAACTTGCATCTCCATCTATTCATGATATGTGATTTAACAGTATTTACCTTATCCCGTTCCCCGATGATTAGCATGTCATCTACGTAGAGAAGTACATACACGCCTCGACCAATAAAGAGATTTGGATCAGAATCCCCTCCTTTTAAAGATATTTTGTTAAAATGATCTTTGACCCTTTTAAACCTAATTTGTGATGCTTGTTTTAAACCGTACAGAGATTTATTGAGCTTAAGATAATTATTCTCTCGAGTAATACCTGGATGTTGCAAGGAAAAGAAGTTGGGTATCTCCATGTAAATCTCTTCTTCCAGGCTTGGATTCAGAAAGGCAGAGTCTACATCTAGAGCTTCGATCTCAAGATTTTCTATAGCAGCCCTTGATAATAGTATCCGGAGTGTGTTATAGCGTATAACCGACGCGAAAGTCTCGATGTAGTCAACTGTAACACTTGTGAACTGTACTGTCAGGCGCAGGTTCACTAGGCGCAAGACTCAAGGCGTAGGAGAGGGTGTAGCGTACGATGTACTGAGGAAGGTGTTGGAAATGGAGACACGCAGTGTTGTGGACGTACGGGCCCTCCATTTCGTCCAGGTTCCCGACACGATCTTATGTGTATTTAGGAGGTTGGAATAGGTAATATGGTAGCGCTTCAGACTACCTATTGGACATATGAGTGGCTGTATGGCGTGGGCGCAAGAAGGTTATTGGGGGTTTTCTGTGCCTAGATGGCGCCACACTCGTTTATGCTGTGGCTTAGGCTCTGTATCGCTTACACTTGTACTTGTAGCGCACATCTCCCACATTTCTAGTTGTAATCCGAACATGACACTCTTTTAGTCAACTTCTACTTTCGTTCCATGAACATTGCGCCCATTTCATTGCGCGATATTTCCAACAACTTTTCCCTTACATTCAGTCTCAGCGCTGGCTCATCTCATCCAGGAGTCGTTTTCTTCATTGGAGGCCTCGCCCAGTCGCCCACCAAGGCCTTCTCAGTTTGTATTCCCTTTTGTTCCTTCATTTAGCATCCCTATATGTTAAGCAAAGTTATACTAATATGAATCTCTCTCAGAGTTGATTGAATTAATTATTCTCTACCATGAGGAATCTATCTAGGTACTATATACATCCTGAGTATCCCACTAATTCCAAATATATACTGACTATTAGATTGCCCATGCGAACTGCTCAAATCTCCGTTCCATACATGGTTCTGAAATTGGCAGTTACATTATCATGGGCAATAGAGAAAGTGAAACAACAAGGGAGCTGTGCACATGAAATTGGCCATCCGTCTAGTCGCTAGTTGTGACATCTGCATGACTAAGTTATTGCCCTTGATGTATCAGGCCAGTTTACTTGCTTATAGTGAGCGTGGTTCAAGGCGTGATTCAAGATGTTGTTCAAGACGTGGTTCAAGATGTAGTCCAATGTATCTCTATAACATGAATAAAACAAGAAGCTACCGAACATCAATGTCCCCCGAGTTCCTTAAACACATCTTTCTACTCTAATATTCTTACTCATATTTGCATGTACCATTCCATACCTACTTCCCTAACTCCCTTAACTCCATGATCCATATGTAAGAACTTACTACTACAAGAAGGGTCGTTTGTGGTTAACCATGACATGACCACACTCGATACTTCTAAGCTAAGAGATTATTGCAACATAATGAGGGAAGCGCTAGCGACTGCAATCAGTAAGGTAGTCGGCCTTAGCTCGATTAGGAAGCTGCTGTGAACGGAAATGATAAAATCTGATGTAGCACAGCTCGTGTTATGACTCAATTTGCACAGGATCATGTCAGTCTGGAGTAAATTATGACACTTGTTAACTACTCAACTTAAACATCATGATACAACATTTAAATTTAGGGTTATCTATCTGACACTAAATCCTTCAGTCGATCTCGTCATCCCAGAAACTTTGTAGAATGTCCACTCCTCCGGCCTTGCCCCTTCGCTGCTGTACCCCTAACTGTGGAGGTCGAAAACGCGACTGAGAGCTCAAGACCGAGGCACCGGTGCCCGAGCCTTTGTCGAACGCTCTAGTTGGTGTGCCGGCGAAATGTCGTACGTATTTCGTCGGTGGCGATTCGTCGCAGGTCGAGTTTTTGGTTCCCTTGGCCGACATGAGGACGCATCTAAGGCCGATATTTCGACCGTACCTTCACAGCGACTGGCAAATGCGGAGGGTCGGACATCCTCTTGCTTATTTGCTGGCGATTTGACTTTTGGAGGTATGGAATTGCTTCGGTAGGTGGTGAGATGATTGTGGAGAGGACCGCGAGATGAGTTTGGCTGGGAATGATTTTCCAGAGAAAAAGGAAAATGATCATGAATGTGACGATTTTTGTAATACGAACATCAGATAGGTTATAGCCTGTCTGCGGTTCGTATCTGGGGTGTAGATGGTTGATTTCGTTGAGTTTTGCAGTCGTGAAATCTCTGCAAGTCGGATTTTCGACCAAAAATGAGCCAACACCACTCCTCCCGATCGCCAACCCGATGAAAACTCTCAAATTAACCCTTTGTCGTGACTGAATCTCGGCTCTGGGAGAATATTCCACTCCTAGGTTCGTAGAGGACACCACTGACTATTGTTCAGGCTTCGTCCTCCGAAGGAAAGGTGGTCAGAGCTGATGTGTAAAACTTTTCATGTGTAGAGTTCCTTTGGAGAGGCGTCCTGGGATGGAGGTAGTTGGTGTAAACTTAATTTATTAAGTCGCTCCAAAGAAAACCTACAGTGGCCGTCGCTCTATGATTGAGAAACAACGCGACCCTACCATCTGATCTGCTCATAGTTATCTTCATGATAATGGTGATAGGGGGGCTGTGTTGGGAGACGAAGACGATACAGACCGCGAAAGCGATTAGGAATCCTCGTCAAAGTTATGAATTTGTTACTCAATCTTGGCTCTGCAGACTCTACAGTGAGAGCTGGAGGTTCGTAGGGGACACCACTGACAGGTGTTGAGAATAGTCCCCCGCTAGGTGATATTAAACACAAGCCTAACAGCTTAAGCTTCTCTATACAACTTCTATTACAATAGTAGGAAACCTCAGAAAACCAACTGACACGAGATAGTCGGTTTTGCAGGGTTTACACCGGATTGGTTTCCTCCCTTGTAATTATTATAGCTGGCTATACCTGCATGGGCCCATAGGGTACCTGAACGGGCTAAGTGAAATTAAATCAAAATGCAAAAATATATCAATTACAAATCTCAACATGGCTCATACAGAATAGAACTCGACGCCTTTAATCGGCCCTTTTCGACCCGTTGTAACTTGTAATCAAAAGTTTTTTAAAATTACGAGCTGATAGAAGTGCAAGATTAATTTGTCTGGGTTTATTTTGGGTTAAAGAGTCCATGGGGAAGGAATATTTAAATCGAGAGGTCCACTACAATTGTGATCAGAGTATCACCTTTCCCTGTTCTTCAGATCGTTCGAATATCTCACAATCAAAGTTATTTTTCCAAACTGACGTTGAAAACACTAAATTTTTGAGGTACCTAGACTGTGAGAGAAGCTTACGACCCGGCTAAGACGTGCTCAGCTTTTTTCGAAAATTCTAATTTCAGAATGAAGTTAATTCAAATTGTTTCATCCGTTGTACTTTTTGCTCTTCCGGCATTGGCGACCAATGATTGGAAATGCGGAACAGACACAGTCTACGCATACGTAATAGATAGAGAGATGCATGGCGCCTACGATGCCTTTCTCACTTTATATTCCCTCACGCCTTCCGATATTCAAGATTATATGAGTTTCAAAACTAATTTCAATGTTCCCGAATTTAACCTTGCAGGTTTGTGAATTCTACCTTAATCAGACTTTCACAGCTGCTAATATATTTATTCATGTTAAGGAACTGAATTTGAGTTGAGTTTTAACAAAGAATTTAAAGTCAAATCTTTCGTATATATTCACAACAATAGAAGTCGCTATTGCACCGAACTACAAACTTGAACATTTTATTAGTTTCATTGCTCATGTCAGGCTTCTTTTGTAAGTGATCATAAGAAATCGGGATCGGGCTCTGTGGGGATGAAAAAGGTCACGCTAAAAAGCCTAATATTTCAAGACGGGATGACTTGTTCAGCTGGAGCTATTCCGAGTCGGTGGTTGCTGTATTTCGTTGACCAATTCTCTTGATTTGTATATTCTGACACTCGGATACTGCTTTGTCCCAATTTAAGATAGATGGCAATTCCATAGCATCAAAGCTACTTAGGCGCAGGGCAGCAGAATTTTCCTTTATATTAATGGTTTTCATCATGTAAGTTTGTGGCTATACAAAGCTACTTTCGGAAGGCAAGACTGAACACCTGTATGCGGTGTCCTCTACGAATCTGGGAGTCAAATATTCTCCCAGAGCCAAGTTCAGTCAAATTTCGCAATACTGAACAAGTTGGCCATCGAGGCAATGATTCAAAATACTCCACCATTATTATCTTTCACTCCCAACGAGATCTTCTTCTATCTATATCTCATCAAGTCTTCAAGTACGACCTAGTACATCATCATTCCAATGAGCACACCTCTCGCCGACTTTCTCTAGCCTCAGCTGGTCGCCAAATACACGCCCACGTCGATTTTTACACCCGACGAAGGAAGCAAAGCGTGGCGCGCAAATCTGGGAGACGGTTCCTTGGGATGGACGTGAGAGGTATCAGGACAAGTTTACAAAACAATGTAGAGGATAAATGTAATCTTGACGGGCGTGAGATTTCGAAGTTTGGCAAGAATTTTGTACAGATTGAGCTTTGTGCGTACGAAGGTATCGGTTGCGAGAGTGCAGGCTACACTATAAACATCGCCATGGCTGGATGGTTCGGTGGTACATCGTCTTGGCTGATCCTACAAGTAGAGTCAGGATGGCTCGGACACATATCCCAATCGAGATAGGAGATTGCTGGTTCAAATCCAGCAAAATAGAACGACTTTATTCACGACGCTGATGTGCATGGACGACGAAGACATGCTTGGATAATTAAAGGTTTTGAATTTCCCTTTAGTGGGTACTTTCGGCGGAGGGTCAACTGTTTGTGTAAGCAAGCATACCTCATAGTGGTATTTGCGAATGAAATCCAGAGTATGAGTGTCTCTAACTTCAAAAGAGTCATCCAATATCTATTCATAGCGACGATCATGTGTCATAGCTATATAGCTACAAATACGTTAAATAATTTAGAAAAAAAATGAAGACAGTTTCAGTAGTAGTTGTAGGTGCTTTGGGAACACGTGTTGAAATTGGCGCTACTTGGCAATGAAGAGCCGCATTAATACGGAACGTAAGAAGGTTCTATTATTACTAGCCACATTTATGACGACTCATACATTGACCAGTCTCCCAATTATTTAGCATAAATAAGTGAATCGTGTCCTTCACTTAGATGTAGTAATTAGTTTAAATAGCGCTCTGATACTAAGTGGGTTTTAATAATCAACTCTTCAATCTCCCAACTCGCTTCACTTGGTGATATTAAATACAAGCCTAACAGCTTACGCTACTCTATAAAACTTCCATTACATCAAGGCATTCATTAGCTTCAGGATCTCAAAAAATCTTCCCATTTGGATTAGATAAGGAATAGAATAGAATTAAATTTAAGTCCCTACTGAGTCTATGACTATGAAGGACTGGTTAAATAAGGAAGTATGTTGGAGTTCACAACAGTCTGCGGAAAACCGCATTTATGTATATAGAGAAACTTCTCGCCATCCGTGTATAAATGTAGTAATTCAATCACAATTAACTATCCATTAAATATCAGTAAACTTCTTCGTATAGTAAACAAATTCATCATATCTCTGAATCAACCATAAGGCTAGTAAGTAACCCTTTCAAGCTCCGGAACTATTTCAGTTAAAATTACATACGCTAGCGCTCTCTCACTCGCTGTAATGAATTTAAATCGAAGAGACTCGTCTACTGGATATAGCCATTACCTCTTACTCTTCGGCCCTCAGCCCCGAGAAGAGGAATATTCTTACCCAGCGTACACCCGTGAAGCCACAGAAGTAGAAGAAAAGGCACGTATACGTACTTACGCTCCCGGAGACTGGGTACTGCGAGTGCGCCAGCGAAGACACTAGATCTAGCCATACTATGAGGGACCATGGGCTGTGGCGGCTTTTCATACCGACAATACCTACTCCTTAATTCAACCGGGTGGAGATGTCAGGTAACTGGGAGCCCGTCCCGAGACAGGCGAAGTGGATGTAATTAAAGTAAAAGATAACTCAGTAAAAACAACTTTATTCCTATTTCTCCCGGAAATCTAGGACTAGATACACCGAGCATGATTGACTTGATCTCTTGATATATAAATATAGACATGCAATAGGAATAGAATAACCTGTAGTTCTAAATACAGAATGCAAGCGCTGACCAAAACAAATAACCCACGCATGTATGGACAGTCCCTATTTTTGACCCGAAACATTTGCCTGTCCAACTTCTTCGGTAGTTATTCTTAACCTTTGGCAGAATTCAAATTAGGCAACAAGTATAATGGCACAAACCTATTCCCGGCACATGTTCGCGACGAACACCCGGCTCGTAGTCTATGGTACGGTAGTCACTTTATACAAGATCAGGATAGAGCGACACTCAAAATTGTAGCAAGAATTTAATTTGAATGATGCTGTAATAAAAATTTCAATCAACTTTTGATTTAAGTTAGCTGTGATAATCTAGTTTCGGGGATGTCAAGGAAACAAGGCGTTCAGGCAAGACAGTCACATGATATGTGGACATGTCTAAATGCACGCTAACGCGTCCGTAAATAATCATTAGTGTCGGTTCATAGAGCTCCGCTAAAATGGATTTGTCATCATGGGTATCACATGACGAGCTCGCTATGAACACGCTGGCTAGGTCCTACTTTGGTTATGAGTTGGGACTCTCTCCCCCTGATGAGACAGAGAGATTTAATATTATTAACTCTTTCTCAACCTTTACGATCGATCGTGAAACCACACCCTAGTCTATCCAACAATGAGTTTGATAGTACTAGATTCTTTCCTCTTTGTAGACAATCTAATTCACCAGATCAGACATTGCCGGTCTCCATCCACCTCACTCCCTACTGTGACAGGGGAGATAGTTTGTGGTTCCCAATTGATGGAGACCCGAACATGCACATTGTACGCTGTTGGTTGGCTCACATGGTGCGGGGGGAATATTTAAGTAAGTTGGCGAACGTGTAGTATAAAAATGAAATCACGTATTTTTAGTCTCAAGCTCTACTCACATTATATCGTCAACTAGTCGGAGCTACGAGACACCTGCGCAAAACCACTGTGAACATAAACCGACCAGCCAGAAGTGTTGAAATTTAGACATACCAGACCGAACGTCATGCAGTGCGGAGTTGACGAAGACTACTCATCTTCGATCACTACCAGCTTCGGTGGGGTCTCGGTTCGTAATGATCTCGCTGATGGAATGTTATTCCATCATGTAGTCAGAACATAATGATTCTACCTAAGCGAGGTAGAACTTAGATAATTAGATGTAGATTAACACCTAATACTTAAAAACAAACTTAATATAAGTTTAGTAAAACCAAAAACCTCACTGATCCTAACATTTTGTCTCTGATTCTTAAATCCCCAATATCTTACGATTCGTACAGTGTTGACTTGACGGTCAACGTTCACTTCTATCATTCCAGATGCCCCCTAGGACTTTAATAAGAAGCCACAAGGTTACGAGCACTCTATCGTATGGTAACATAATGTGATTCCTACCGATCTTCTCAACGCAGTGTCTCGTGGCCTGGACACACAAGGAGGCTAAAAAGGCAGGGCGTGAGTTACCCGAGGTACCCACAAGTCTGCAGCGTCCATACAACTCACTTGACACTGAAACCCCCCAAAAGAACTGTCTCGACGCGCCAGACACGCGATTATCTACTGTTCAGCTTTCTCTGATTTGCTCCTTGCCATGCCGCCCCAGTCCTCCGTAGAGGCTGGCTCTTGGCCCCCTCTCCCACCTGTAAATTCGACGCGTCCTGACGTCGAAATGGTCCTCACAGGGCCACCTAGCCACCACCACAACAACACACAAGCAAACGCAGAACCGATCTGCGAGGCGAGCTGCCAATACTCGCCCCCAAACCCCCCCGAGTCAATGGGTGCTTCCTTGACTAACTTCCTCGCAGACGAAGCGAGGGCGTTTAACATACGCTTTGCAGAGGCTGAGCGTATCGTCAGTGGGTACATTAACCTACTGGCGGCCACAACCGACAACCAGCTCCGCGGAGCTGTTTGAAAAGAATGGAGAGGCTTTACAGGCCACTATCACAAACATCCTGCGCGGAAACCCCGAGCCCCAATCCAGTGGGCCATCAGAGGCTGCCAGTAGCAGCAAGACGACAACCCTCCCAACGTCGGCTACTAGGTCGGGAGGAAAGAATAGCGCGAGCACTTCACGACCAGTGCAAATACTCACGAGAGAAAGCAGCCAGGCGAAAGGCAAAGAGCCGGCTTCGACAAAGCCTACTAGGCCAATCGACATCGATTCTATACAAACCCCCATCGTTACTGAGGGGTCTTGGACTCAGGTAGTGAGGAAAAAGACTAAGGCTGCACCACCAGCAGCGACAAAATCGCAACCAGCCAGCGAGCCTAAGTCAAAAGCGACAGGGCCCACACAAACTCCGAGGCCTACTGCCTCAGCTCCCAAGTTAGCTCGCCCAGACGAGCGTGTTTTCCTGCGGGTCAAGCCCGACCACCCATGGAGACGCATGTCTCCTCATTACATCAAAATGAGCCTCGCAAGCAAGCTGCGCTTAGCTAACTCTGCAATTAAGCAGGTTACCATAGTCAACTCAGGGTTTGCGATACTAGCTGAAGGAGACGGAGCAAGAAACGCGCTCCTCTCAGGCGCCGTACTCCTGGAGAGCACGGAAATGAAACTGGAAGCTGCTTCCAACTGGATCTCAGTGTTGGCGCCTAAT